GCAGGAGGATCCAGGGTCTTGGGACTTGGAAAGTTCAGAATCAGCTGTGCTGCTTTTTTAATCCAGCTAAGTTAGAATCAAGAGGGAGCTCCTTGCAGGTTGTGGGAGATAGGAAGATCACAGTGCTCAGAGAACACCAGCCAGGTGCTGAAGTCACTGTGGAAGCCAGGAGCATGGTCCTCCCTGGAGTCATTATGACTCAGATACAGATAGTGGAAAGAACTGAAGTCAAAGGTAAATTACATCTACAGCTTCCTTGATGTGATAAAAGAGAAAGAGTCTTTATACAATACTCAAAATGCATTGATTGTGGAGTAGAACTAGCTTGTATGTTGGATGTGTCTGCAGTATCAACTGAAAATCCCACTCAGGATAGACCGTTCATCAGTGCCTTAACTTGTTAACGAGACAGGCCAGGACTGCCTGATCAGATGATTAGGAGAACTGGCTCTACTGCCTCACCACTTCTGCCACCTGCGTAGAATGCTGGGATAGAGTGGCACGTCACCCCTGAACTCAGTTTTCATGCTAGGAAAATGGGAAAAATAAAACCTACATGGGCTAGGCACCCGGTCTAGCACTTGCTGTGTGGAATATCTACAGCTTTCCTTTCTTCACATGTATCTTTATTTTTCTGCTTTGTCGAGTATATAAGTTTCCCAGAACTTGTTTTTAAATAAAAATTTCCAAAGTCATGTCATATAGAAAATGAACTAGAAAAACTGTCTGTTTGGAGGAAGGCAATATAATATTTAATAAGTGGAGAATCCCTTTGCAAAGCAAATAGTTATTCGTATAATTTATCAGTTTTGTGGAAAGCAATTCTTGTATGTTGAATAAAAATTCTATGGATTCGAGTCCCGCCTGGGCAGCGAGACCTCATCTCTACAATAAATCAAAAATCAACTGGGCGTGGTAGCGCATGCCTGTAATTCCGGCTACTTGGAAGGCTGAAGCGGAAGGATCACCAGAGCCCAGCAGGTGGAGGCTGCGGTGACTGGGAACAGCCACTGCACTCCAGTCTGGGCGACAGAGTGAGACTCCAACTCAAAAAAAAAAAAAAAAAATTCTAGATATATAACATACACTTTAGAGATCCACTTAAGTCTCTTATTTCATAAGAAAAAATAAAACCCAAAGAAATCAATTTAAAATCCCAGTTATTGGTAGAATTAAGATTAAAGCCCAGACTGATACATTGTCTCCACCTCTGCAAAAGTAATTTCAAGAGAATAGCCATACTTTCTCAATGCTGTTTGTTTTTAATGGCATCCTAGATTAAACTTCTTCCGCAGAGGTCATCTGTGGTTGAGCAGGCAGCATTTTGTTTTCTACTTTGCCTGTGACCTTTAACTCTTGCTGTCGTATGATCTGATATTCAGGTTAGTATTTACTGCATATCAAACTAGTCCAAACTTAGTGGTTTAACACAACCTCTTTTTTTTGCCCTGATTTGTGGGCCAGCAAAGGGTTGACTGGACAGCTCCTGCTTGGGGTCTCTTGGGGTGGCAGTCATCTATGGGCTGAGCTGCATGACCTTCTGAGGTGACCCACACATGACTACAGTGATTCTCCCTGTTGACTGGGAACTTTGGATGACTGAGCAGAGTGCCTACATGTGGCCAGGCTAGCGTGGCAGGTTCAGGATCCTTTGACCACTTATTTGGTGGTTAACTTCTCCAAGAGCAAGAGCGAGCTTTCCAAGGGGAAGGTGAAAGATACATGTACACAGTGTCCTTCCACTACTTTCCCTCAGTTGCATGTGAATCTTTAAGGATAGCTAGTTTCACTTCATGATGAAGAAGCATCAAAGATCTTGAAGATGTATTTTCAAGTCACCACATCTGACTGTTTGTAGATATAAGAAGTCAAGGGAGAAGAAGGAGGAAATCAGAGTCTGCTTTACCTCTTTATGTGGTCCTTGTGTCTTGCTCTAGGAAGAGTCTTCCTAAGTACTCATGTGAATCCATCATGCAAGGCAAATTCTATCAGATTTGATGGAGCATTTTACTTAACTAGATCCAATAGAGAGTGTCTGCTCTTAGGAAGTAAGCATTATATATATATATATATATATATATATATATATATATATATATATATATATATT